ATGGACCCCTTTCAGATTATAAGATTTTTTAAGAATTTATTTTTATTTCTTTATAAACCAAAAGTCTAAGCACGACCGTTCTTGAGTTTTTTTACATTTTTCATGCCAGTTCTGTGAGCTCGTTCCTTTTAACATTTTTTATATCTAAATAATCTTTCAAATATTTTATATTTATACTTTTGATTCGGTCTACTGCCAACTTTCACTCTCTTTTACGCCGTTTATTCGTAAATTATTTCGTCAAGAACAACCTTCCATCTCCCTTAACTTGTTTTTTATATTAAGGAATTCCGAGTTAGCTTCAGTAATTTTATCACTAGAGGGATTTTTCTTTTCTTGTAAATTAATTGCAGATTTTATTTTATTATAGGGTAAGGCGGGTATCTTCGTCATCTTTTACTTTAACAAAATGAATTTGCATATAAATAAGTAAACTTTTCTAGTTTAAAAGTATTTTTTTATTAATTAGGGTCTCTACTTTCTTAATGTATTGAATCAAAATAAATTCTAAAGTTACTTTAGTGTAGAACTTGATTTTTTCATCATCAAGTCATGAGGGGCGAATTCGTCAATTACGGGGCAAATTCGTCAGTACAACTAAACTAATTGAAAAATACGTCACTTGAGCGATAGACAAAATTTCTTACTAGCGGTAAAGACAGGTTACCAAGGAGAAAAAAATACTTTGATAAAAAGCATTATTTTTAGAGTAATAGCAGTATGATTTTCGTAATTTAGAACAAAAAACCCCTTAGTGATGTAGATTAAAATACTGATAGCTACAGATAGAATTACCTCAGATAACAAGAAGATAGAATTACTGAAAGTCGGTTTCCTGATTTCTAAAACATCTAAAAGGATGTCATTTGTTTAACCTTTTCTATAAAATATCAAATAATAATTTTGGCATAAATGAAAGTTGTCTAACCGCGCTAGCGCACAAAATAACACGTTAAAGCAGCAATAAAACTTATATTACATGTATATTTAAAAACTTACAAGACGTTTATATGTCCTTTACACACATTTTTCGTATGTATCAACTTTAAAACATCCTTCACATGCTAACTTAAACATTAAAGCCAATCTTCGTTTGCTTCCCCCCAAACTTCACAAACTCAACAAAAGTCTTTATCAGTGTTATTTTTTAGAATAAAAGCACTAGATGAACTTGGGTGATCAGAATCAGCTGGAAAACAAGTCTACTTTATTTTGTTCTGACTGATTTATCTTTTTTTTTTTTGACTTCTGTTTAACACTGACCACATTTTTTATTGGAGCCATTTTAGCAGGAGGATCTTTTATAAACTTAACATTATCTGGTAATGTTGTAAGAGCAATATGACGTTTTGAATGAGTAGGTTTGCTGTTTTCTGGAGAAGATACAATAGTCCTTAAAACAGATAAATTTGGGTCTTGTAGATGAATTTTTGTTTTATTAATTATCTCTTTTTTTTGTATTCGAAGTCTTTCACTGTATTTCATAAGGAATGTATACCGCAATGGTAAAACGCATTAACAATCAATCTTCTTTTTGTAAGTATGTTGGGCTATATTTTGTTAACAATAAAGTGAAAATTGCAATATTTTGTTAAAAATAATGTGAAAGTTTCAACGAGTCATAGAAGTGTTATCGTTTTAAACTAAGCAATTAGACAAGGCCTAAGACTACATATGTTTAACTACATTATTAACATGTTTGTCAAGTGGTTGAAGGCGATGTATACTATGCATATTATTTCAATATCCATCTATATTGCTAATTAAATTGCTTCAAAAATTAATCATCCAAAAAAACAAACAAAACAAAAAAAACTTTTTTCCAATCTACTTTTGTAAGAAACTCATTATAATGATGTAAAAAAAGTCTCTTAATCAATATATCTGCTTTTACTGCAATGTACTTTTTTACCCAAAGGAAATTTAGATGCATCTAGAATCTTTATTACTTTGAATATGAAAAAATCGTGGTTAACTGTCCCCTGCTGCATTGACAGTGACCAGGTGTGTTGTTAGTGTGCCACGTTCACCAATAGTTAACTTTTGTACCTCACGAGAGCCCTTTACACAAAACCGCTAGGTACAGATATAAGGCCGCTTTCATCACAATTGTAAATCAAATTTTATATACTTATTATTTACTATATATACATTTTAGACTATACATTACAATAAGCTTGTTACATATGTCTTTACATGTGTTTACATCATAGTCGAGTTCATAATTAAAAGTTAAAAAAGTTTTAAAAACTAACTGTCAACTAATATATTCTGAAAAGCCTCTTTTAGATAAAATCTGAAGCTATGAAGTACATTTTTAGCACAACTTGATTTTCTTTCAAATGGCGCTTCATAATTTACAAGTTTGCGTGATTAAAGAACCTTATTTATCTTAAGTATTATCTTTTCTTTAACAACGAAGTTGTCCCTCATTTAGGCATGCGATAACAATCATTACGTGACGATTCCGAAAGAAAAAACATAGCAACTTAAATTGTTATTTTAAAAATATTGACATCGATCTATCGAAAAACTTTGTGATCAAAACATTTCGTATTTTGATTATTCTCAAAACCTAGCAAATAGAGTTTTTAGTTTATATGCATTATTATGTTAAAGCTGAGTCGCATAAGTAACGAATTCGCTCCGTGGTGAATTCACCCCGCCTTACCCTATATGTTATTATTTATTATCTGTTCATAAAAATTCAAAAATTTCATTTCTTCATTATCTTTTGTTATTGAATTAACTCGTTCGGCATTGCCGTTTATACTAAGGAGGTTTAATAAATTTATTAAAGCTCCTTGGTTTATACTTTTTTCAACTTTTTTTACTTTCTATGTGGTCATGGAGTATTTTTGCGCTAAAAATGGTTAAAATGCTTATTTCTTTTTAGTTCAAAATTTCATATAACTCTTTTTTATATTCTACTAAACATATACTAAACATACACAAATACTAAACATCACCTTCAATTTTTTTTATTATTTTATATCAAGTAAATGCCATAATTAAATTTATATGATTGATAAAATCTTGAGTAAATTATTATGATTAATAGAATCTTATTACACAGGTACTAAAATGTATCAGTTTGTATTTTTTAAGTAGTTGTTTTTTAAGTAGTTGTTTGTCATATGAATTTGCAATACTACTAGTAAGTTGAAGTAATGCATACTCAGCAGATTTTTTTTTTTTTTTTTGAATCTATATTTATTGTTTCACAATATTTCTTATTTTTTTATAGTTAGATGGTTACATGTTCTATTTTACAAAACTCTTTTTGAACTTTGCGAAAAATTTAGGAGAACTGAAATTTGGTGATAGTTATTGAATTTATTAGTTCACTTTCTTAAAAGGTTGGGGTAACTCTGGTTATTTTGAGAACATCTAAAAATATATCTTGTTTAAATGAGCGACTAACTATAATAGAAAAAAATTATTGATTTCATATGAACCAATAACAAAATTTCCATTAATGTTTTCTGGTCCATTTGCTTTATGAGTTTTACTATTTTGTAAGCGGTTTCGAATTCTTTGAATGTTTAAGTTCTTCGAATGTTGAAAAAAATTTGGAGAAAGGTTTAAATGAGAGAGTGCCGTTTACTAAACTAGTGATGATAGGGATATTTTAAAAAAATTAAAAAAAAATAAACTATTTAAAGTTAATATATTCAATTTGCTTGTACAACGCATTTTCAGCAACTTACTGACCGATCTGTATTTTATGCGATTATTTTACTGACCGGTCTGTAAATTATGCAATAGTTTTCAAGTGAAATTTTTTGGATTCCATGATTCCTTTATGCATATTTGCATGGTATAATTATAATATGACCACAAATTTTATTATCCAAAACTAAGAAAATAATATAAAAAGGTTGTAAAATAGATGATTCTGGACAATCCCAACAGATTTAACAAAAAAAAAAATTGTTTTTTTATTTTCTTATAATTTTTTGATTTGATCTAAAATAAATTCAAACAATACAAACAAATTATCTAAAACTCTTATTTGAAGATAATATGCTGACAAAAATATGCTAATTTCAAATAAAAGAATTAGAATAACTTATAAATCGCCTAACACTTCACTGAGTGTTAATTGCATTTGTCACTCAAAAATCAAATTTAAAAAAATAGATTAAACTACAATGATATGAGATCCTTGACATTTTTTTTCATGAGAGTAGTGGAGATTTTTTTTGTTTGCTCACCACTATAAATGGCCTTTTATTTAATATCAAAATTTATATGTTTATGTATTTCTACTTTATTTGTTTAAGGTTACATAAAGATATATTTTTGTTAATTTCAACACGATATATTTCCACGATATATTTCAGATCACGTAACTAGGATAATGAAAATTTTTTTAATATTCTGGAAGCCACGTCTTCGGCAAAAAACACAAGGTCTTAATTGTGAAATTCTGACTAGTAGTTTTTATTTTATAATTGATCATGATCCAAGTTCGTTATTTTAGCCAATCATATGTCAGCAGTCATATAGTTGTTTTTAACTCAGTCGCCAAAAGGTTAAAATATTACAAGTTTCTTCAATAAAATAACGAAATATTTCGAAAAATTTTCATAAACTTTGATTATTGATGTATATTGCATAAACTTTGTTTTGCTCAAAGTATTCTTCACCTGTATAAAATTAGTTGCATGAATCAAATCATTAGATTCAATTAAATAATTTAAATCAGGACCAGATTCATGGTCTAATAAAAAGTCATTATTTTGAAAGAAATTTTAAAAAGCTAGACTCATAATTTATGGTTTCAGTAGAATTCATTTGGGATCATCATTAGAGAGAGTTTAAACAATTTCAAAACAAGATTATAAAAATAATCATTCATAAATATATATCTAAAAAAAAAATAATAATAATTACTTATTTAAAAAATATCCTCAATGGAAATTTGTCTAAAAATTTTATCGCGCAGTCGATATTAATTTGCAAAACGTATAATAATTATTTGTGAAAATTCTTGATGACGATTCAAAAGTTGTATTTCGTTGTCATAAAATTCATTATCAATGCATTACAAGCTTCTTTTTATGCAGATCTTTTGACCCAATCATAAGTCAATAGCTGCGATGTATTTGGTCGTAATTTCGGGTCACTATAACAAAAATTAAATACTGTTCTTGTTTTGTTTTTTTAAAAAAACGTTAAATAAAAATTTAGCATTAAAAATTAATTGTAAAAACGAAAAAAAACAAAAGAAAAAAGAAAAAAAAAAAAAAAACTTCTGATTACCGTTGAAAACAATCATTCACAAATGTTGTGCATGAATTAGACGAGTTATCAGGCAGATGCGGTATAGTTGGTTTTGTACCAATGTGGAATATAGCAACCCTAGGATCTAAATGAAACCATGGCGGCTTTGTTGTAAGCATTTCAAGCACAGTACAACCGAATGACCTGTTTAGAAAATATATCATGATCATTTTTTGATCTGAATCAAAATAATGATCACATATCTCGATCTCAAAATAATGATCACATATCTCGATCTCAAAATAATGATCACATATCTCGATCTCAAAATAATGATCACATATCTCGATCATCATTTAGATCAAAATAATGATCACATATCTCGATCATCATTTTTATCCTAGTTATAATGATCAGGATCATTATTAGTTAAAAACTCATTAAATAAAGTGTTAACAAACTTAAATATTATAAGTTTATTGCAGATAAAATAAATATTTTTATTTATTACACAATATATCTACAACAATATTAGAATTCTTATGTTTGCTTACAAAATTCTTCAAAATAAATATGTTAAATATGTTAATTATATAGACGAATTAATCTAACATATTGATTTAATACTCAATTTTAAAAAAGGAGAAAGAGTTGAGAGACTCAAAAGAGATTAAAAAAGTGTTTATTAAACCTGATCAAACTCGAGCCGAAAGGTACAAATCTAAGTTATTACGAGATGAATCTGAAAATTTATATTTCAGAAAATAACAATAGGTTATAAATAGTAAACTACCTCCACTTGGTTGTCATGGTCACCAAGTAGTTATCTTTAAGTACTTGTTTGATAACACAATAAATAATAAACTAGAAAAAAAGAAAAATATTTTACTCGAAAAAACTTTACAACGGCTTTACTAAATACTATCTCAGTATTGACTGGCACAATGAATTACTTGACTTTAATGCCAACAACTTGTACAAATGGTTGGATTTTAATGTATCAGCTTAAAATTATTTTCCACGTGGAGTTTTACAGTAAAAAAAGTGTAAAAAAAACTTTCTATGAATTAAAAATCTTAAAAATATGATCAGATGAAAGAAATACTTGTGATTTATATGTTAGAATTGCGGATTTTAAAACATAACGAAGTTCCAAAAGTACAAAGAATCGAGCAAGATGATCAAAAATGTGTAAAACATTCAAACTTTTAATTTAAATGCTTTACACATTTAAATTAAATTTTGATTTTTTAGCAAGTCTAAACTTGTTAAACTTACTAGTTATGAACAACAACTGTTCAAAGCTAATTTTTAATCAAATTATAATACATAAATATATGAGGCACACAAACGGTTGGTGTAGATAATGTTCACCTAAAATTTCAAAAGTATGTTTAAAACCTTTTGCAATCCCTATTTCAATTATTTTTAACAAATGGAATTTTACCTGATATTTGGCTAGTAAATCTATTTCTGCTCTTTAATAAAAGGATGTAAACTTGTTTCATCCCATTATTGTCTTGATTTGATTCATCTAATTATTGTCTGATATGATTGATTTAGTGTAAACTTATGCAACAAATTAAAAACTGTATAATCAATTTCCATAAACCTATTGACCTTATTACAAGATCTCTGGCAAATAACCACGACATTGATCTAATATTTTTGGACTCTGTAAAAGCAATCGATTCTGTTCACAAACTGAGAATATGCTTAAAAATGGACTCTTCGTCCATTTTCTTGGCATACTTTCTCAATGCAGGCCAGTTTATTCTTGGGATACTTTCTCTATGAACCCCTTATTAGTTATAATTATAATATTCTGCAGATCGCTCTGACCTCTCTGCCCAGTCAATTACTACCATAGTTGATGTTCAAGCAAGCAATCTTGTTCTTTCAATTATAACTGTTCCTTCAAATATAAACGAATTTATCTAAAACTCATCCAAAAAATCAATCATTTAGTTTTTTAAACTGAACGTTGTTGCTTTGGAATTAACTCCTTTCTTCATTTTTTTCTGACCATTACTATTTACAGTTTTTCAAGTTATCTTTGCTCTTTGACATTCTTCTTTGTTTTTTGTTAACTCCCAAATTTACTTGCAGCTTTGTTGAGATTTTTTTTTTTTTGAAAAAACATCAAAATGTGTTAAAGAACTTTTCATTAAAACAAAAACTTAACAAACAAAGTTTTACAAAAGGTATTATTCTTTTTCAAAAACTATTTTAAAAAACAATTTGAAAATTCAGTTAACACTTTTATGCAAACCTAATTACAATGATTGATTTTTACATATATAACATTAAATAAATACCATATATCAGCTTTATTTCTATATTCAATATCATCAGCAGTTGCATTTATGACTTCAGGACTCATCCAGTAAGGTGTTCCAGCAAATGTTTTACATCCTGCACAAGAACTAATTGTCTAAAAATATAGTTTTTAAAGATTCATGCATATTACTATAACTAAATTATTTATTATGTTATCCTTATTCAAAACATTTCCTTAACATTATAAGCCCAAAATATAATATCTATAAGTAATGTTTTAAATGATACACACATAGCATAACAAAGTGAACATAGCGGCATAAGAGGAACATGCACATAGCATCACAAAGGTTTGTATTATAAAACCTTTGTGATGCTATGTGCATGTTTCCCTTAATATGCTTTGTTCACCTTGTGATGCTATGTGTGTATCATTTAAAATTTTATTTATAGATATTATATTTTGTGATTATAATGTTAATGAAATGTTTTATATTTTATACATACATTGATATACAATTTTTGTTGCTCAGCATTAAGTTATCATTATTAAAGCTATTATAATTATAATTAAAACATTTTAACCTAAAACTGATAAAATAACAACAACAAACAGTTAAAAAAAGCACAAAGAACCCCCTACAAAAAAATGTTATTAATGGGTGAACCACCCAATGGTCAAAGACCCCTCCAGTTGTCGACGTTTTGTTACTAAGTAATATGCTGAGCAAAGACTAACTGAAGTAAAGTGCTAAAACAGAGTCTGAAATGATCGCCTATCTTTTCCTAATATATGTAGGAAGTTTGGCTAATGATTAAAAATTTAAAATAAACACATACAATGATTTGAAGGGGTGATAAATACATATTACATTTATACATTTGTTATAAAAATACGCTAATATGTACTTTTGTGTAAATTTTTTGTGGTGTTATGCTTCTCACAAATATACGGCCTCATTCACACATTATAACACAAATCTGAATAAATATATAAGGATAAGGTAAAAAAAGATTATGAACAAAAGTATATATATAATAGGGAACAAATATTTGATATAGTGATTTAGAGGCTGTTGATGTCTACAGGTGTGATGGTGTAGTGCATTAGTATGTACCGTTTGGTCGTCTAGTATGGTCTCGTTATGTTTTTGTTCACTTTCAAATCGGGTGAATAGAAAGCTAAACACACTCACTCCTTGCGCTTATTGGCTAGCACATCAGAGCCAGGCATAAGATCTACAGAATGGATTTCAATTGATGCACACATTATTCACCGTAGGCCACAAGCCATCAATGCTAATGAAGAATGATGTGCTATGAAATGAGATTTTAGATCCGAGCACATAGTCAGCGAGCGCTGACTTAAGTTAAGTTAAGATGAATATATTTATATATTTTATAAATATATTAAATAATATATTTTTTTCAGCCATCTGTTTCTAAAGAATTCATTTCTGTTATCTCTGACCAATTACTTAATTTGTCAGAAACTTCATTACTCTACTTAGCTAGAATGTTTGATCCATCAAGACAATTTATGCGTCCTCTTATAGAGCAGAGTGAGTTGAAGTTAAGAAAGAGGTATATATTTTATAGAATCACAAAGAGCAGGCTGTAAACCAAAATAAACATAACTTGCAACTATATTGTTGCAAGTTATTTTTACTCATTAAACTTTCAAACTATTATTCAAACTTTTTTTTTTTAAAAAATTAACAGCCATACAAACATTTCATTAATATTTGTACATATCTTTCACATAGATCATCCAGGTCATATTTTAAAAATCCGGAAAATCAATAGGGTAAAATATCCGGAAAATATCCGGAATATATTTTCCCTAATATTCCTAATAATTTTGATTTTAGCTGAGCTGTTTTTATTTTTTTTTTAGTTTTTCTTAAGTTTTGTATGAGTAATAAGTGAAAAAGCTTAAAAAACAAATATATTACAATATATATTTCTAAACTTGTATGTATAGAAAACATTTTTGATATCCGGAAAAACTAAAAGTTGAGAAAAATATCCGGAATTCCGAAAATATTCGGAAAAAGATAATCCCTACTTTCAACAAATGTTCTTTATCAAAATATTAAAAAAAAAAAAAAAATGTTTTCTTATAAGTATGTTTGTTTTAGTTTACGTTGTAAACTATAAAAAACATACTTTTTATTTTACTGAGTCTTATTAAGGAAGTTTTTAAAAAAATTTTAAAAACTTCCTTAAAACTTAAATTTTTCTTCACATATCAGCAATAGAGTCAAACTTTGATATCTTTTGGCCCATATCCATGCCAATCCGATTGTGTTTAGATTTTTACACCAACAAATTGTTTTTTAAGGATTATCTATCAAAAAATCGAAGCCCAATCAGCTTTACGTCATAGTTGTCTGATACTTTTTTAAATATAATAACTAATACACTAAAGATAACCACTGTTTTAAATCAGATAAAGGTAAACTGTCTTTAAGAAGAATTTCTAGTGATACTTTCTATGATACTCTTAGCTGAATCATATTTTTACTTGGTAAAAAAAGATCCATAATATTTTTAATCTGGTAAATGCTTTTACAACGATGAATGGTGCATAGTGCTTCAAATTTGTGATAAAAACCAAATTGTTAACGTCACATAAAAACAATTAAAATTTGAGAAAAAAAAAAATACACAATTAAGTTAAAAACACAATTAAGTAAAGTTTAAAAAATATAAGATAATGACATTGAAAAAAAACCTTTGACAAAGTAAAATGTCACATAAAAGTACTCAATTCATTATCGGTAGAAAAGATCATGAAAAAATGCTTAAGAATAATGATTATGATTGCAACTTAGGTAAATTATAAATATACATCTTTATATAACTTTTGTTCTTTTTGCTGTTTTTACTTTTTATTTTTATTTTTCCTTAAACTTTATTTTAAATTAAAAGTTTAAAAAAACTAAATTTTACAATGGAAAATTGAAACGTTATAATCACTGAAAATAATATAGCAACTTTGAAGTTTAACAACTTAGAATTAAGTAAAACTAGTCAAAAAAGTTATTTGGTTTATAAACTGTTACTATACAAAATTTTAAATGATCACCATTTTTATTTACAAAATGAGAGTATGTTAATAATTACAAAAACTATAACTTTTTAACAGATTGGTCAATCAAGCTAAAGTTTTAAAGGTTGTGTTCTTTCAATCAGCGATGAAACTCATTGATCGAATAATTTACAAGGTGCTAGCCAGCCTGATGGCACCCAGTTTAACGCAAAATTCCCAATTGGTTTAAAATTTCTTAAGCTTCTAAAGATCATTGTTAAAAAAAAAAAATTATTTCTGTGTTGTATGCACAACACAGAAATAAATCACATTCATCAATTTTTTTTAAAAGAAAAAAAAGTAAGTTTTTTTTTTTTTTAATTTTTAATTTTTTAATAATTCACCCCCTCAAGGCCGAGAAGGCCACTACAGACAAGAAGGCTACTTATTTGTGGTTATAACCCTCTCTCAATGCTATAACTCCGAAACACGAACCTTGATGAACAAGGCCGCTGCGCGGAGAAACGAGTTGAGCGCGGTACTACTAGGGACGTGGTGGGGATCGAACTCGGAACCACTCGTTTATGAATTGAATCCAACCTGCTGGGCAACACTTACTTGGACTTCACTTGGATTAAACACTTCACTTGGAAAGTACATTTCACTTTTATCAGTTAAGCCATGCTTTGTGAATACATTGAAAGCACTAGCTGAATTATTCATAAGAAGTTAGAAAAAAGAAGAGCACGAAGTATCCAGGCTTCAGAAAAAAATAATCATTAAAATTTGTATTTCTATGTGATATATGTTCAAACATTTTGAGTGAAGTATTTTATTAAAATTTATTAAATTTGCCATCAAGGTTGCTACGAACAAAACATTTAGGTCTCATGAGTGTGATCGAAATATTGCAAACTACGAATTAACATTAAAAACAATTCAGAAATACGTATAATTGAGCAAAAGACGAAGTTACTCAAATGGCGGCCAAATGGGATATTATTCCAAAATTTTTTTGGAATAGACAAAAAGTTGTTAAAAAACATTTTGATGAACTATTAAGGGATCATCGTTTTGGCAATGACGGTCGCAGTTATAAGCCAAATATAGAAAAGATTTACAATTTTAGATATACTCTAATTTACTTATTTGATTTCAGTTATACAACAGTTTTTTCAATAAATATATTTAGATAAAAAACTTTTTCTCTTAGTGGTTGGGGCCAAAATAATATTTTGCGGGGTAAGCTAAATAATAAAGTTCTGCCATTGCTTATATTCCTAATATCATGAAAACATTATATAAAATTTTTTCCTGGCTAACACCCTGATTTAGGACACATAACAAAGGTAAATTTAAAAAGAATATATATATATATATATATATATATATATATATATATATATATATATATATATATATATATATATATATATATATATATATATATATATAGAATACATATTTATATATTATTATTTACAAAAGCAAATATGAAAAAAACAAAAAAAACAAACAAAACAAAAAAAAGCAAATCTACTTGTATCTGTTTTGATATACCAAAATCAGCAAGCTTACAATTCCCATATAAATCTAACAAAATATTGGCACCTACAATAACAAAGGAGAATTTTTAAAAAAATAACAAAGGGGAATTTATTTATTCCACTAAATTATTATAATAATTTATAATTGTACAAAAAAATACAGTACAGACAAACTTAGATTTGTTTTGGAAAAGTTTGCATTAATCTGTTTATATCTGTAAAAATCTGTTTATAATTTGTTTCACAATAGTTTTAGAGTTTAACTTTAATTTGTTTTCAGATGTCTCTACTATTATAAAAATTCAAACCTTGTTTTACTTTCTATTAAACTTGTTCTACTGTTGATTTATTTACTGCTGTATCAAGTTCAACCATTGATAAAATGGAAGCAATGAAACAAGATATGGTCTTGACATAGTTAAGATATTTTTATAAAGTGTTTAGGATTGTGTTGCATGTTTCCTCTGTAAGCTCTCTTTATATGATACAACAGAGAATGTTATTTTATTACAGCAAAAAATTATTGAAATTTGTTTTCTAATTGCATTATTATAGTCATTTTTGATGAAGAAAAATGGTATTCTCAGTAACCTGGTAACCAGGTACTTTATTTATATTCCTGACTTTAAAGTGACTCTACTTGCTGATGATACAACTATATACTCCAGTCTCAAAAAAAAGTTATCTTTTTGATTGCTTAGAACAAGTAGTCAGTTTTGAATGTGATCACTCCCCTGTGATTGTTAAAATTCTTAAGTCACTGCTGGCTTTGGCTTGCAGTGACTTAAGAATTTGCATAATGCTAACATTACAATATTTTTTGATAGTCTATCAAACTTCATTAACTACTACATTATAACAAAGTGGAATGCCCTTCCTGACAAAGTTACATATGTCAGTTCTGTTAACTGTTTTTAAATTCACTTAACAGTCATATTCACTACAGCGCATCATCTACTGTGTTACTTCCGCCACCCCCTACCCCACAGTAATTAAATGAGTTTTGCCAACTGATTATATGTTCAATAGAACATGTTTCGTTGTAAGTGGGAACCAATTTATCTATTAATTTGATATAGTAGTTTAATAATAATTTGTCATTGCTTTCACTGTTATAACATAGTAGTTTTAATAAAAATAACTTATTATATATATAAAAAAAAAAAAATTAATTGAATTATATCATAATACCCTGTGAGTATTACTCAGTCTATTTCAAGCATTGCATAAATATATAGCAAAAAAAATATATATATAGACTAATAAAAATTTGTTCAAATTTAAAAACAGTAAAACATCTGTTAACAAATGTTTTTCAAAATTCTAAACAGTAAAACAGCTGTAAAAAAAACTAAAAATTTTCAGAAAAAAAAAAAAGAAAGATTTTTATTTAAAAAGTACTGCAAACCGATGATTTATTAAACAATATTTATTAACGTAAAAAAATACATCTACTGCAAACGTAGATGCAAGATAACAAAATAGAGTCTGTTATAGAGACTTTCTAACTATCTCCCAAAAAACCCCAACTGTTTTTCAACAACCAAAAACTTGAATTTAGATTGTTTATCTTGACTTAGTTATCCAACATTTTTTCTTTTAACAAAATAATTTTGGTAATACTAGAACAAAGGTTTTATTCTTTAAAACAATGAAAATAACTAGTTTTTGTGTAATAAAATGATAAAATGATTAGACAATAATGAATATATAAATATGTATTTATATATATGAATATATAAATATATATATATATATATATGAATATATATATATATATATATATATATATATATATATATATATATATATATATATATATATATATATATATATATATATATATATATATATATATATATATATATATATATATATATATAAATATATATATATATACATATATAAAAAAAAATATATATATATATATATATATATATATATATATATATATATATATATATATATCAGTGGCGGAACTTCAAAATTTGGACCCCCCTGCAAAAATATGTTTTTTTTGCGGAAAAGAGTTTTATAGTATAAATATTATTGAGAGTATAACTTTTTTTTATATAAGGGCTCCCTATAGCTGGTAGACCCCCTCGCAACGCAGGGTCCTGCGTCCAGTAGTTCCGCCACTGATATATATATATGCCTTACCGTGACAGTAAAGGTGGTGGCTCACTTATATTGGTGCGCAATGATATTCATTCAGTTCAAATTCGTCCGGAAGTTCCCGACGATCTTTAAAACACTCAATTTACCTGTGTCGACATAAATGCCGTGAACTACCTATTATTCACATTTTATATAAAGCTGACTATATTTCGATTAATAACAACTTACTTAATGTAAACTGGTATATGTTGGCCAAACTAAACCCAGATGTTGAATCATTCTGGCAAGCTATTTGTAAAGTCCTGAGTGTGTCTATTGCTTCTCACGTTCCTTCATTATGCAATAAAAAAAAGCATGTTCAACCCCTTGCTATTCGTAAATTCGCAGAACTATTTGCAAAAAACTTTTCTTCTAATTCCACTCTTGAATCTTATGGACATTCTCTTCGTTCCATTCCAGTCAAACAGGTTGACCCATTGTTAGACATTCAAATCACTTCGGCTTCTGTTGCTAAAGTCATATCTCAATTAAACTCGTCTACAGCCTGTGGTCCAGACAACATTACTGTCACAGTCTTGCAGAATTAATCTCCAGAACTTTCTTCAGTTCTCTCTAAACTATTTAACAAGTGTTTGACTGAGTCTTGTTTTCTTGCTTGTTGAAAAATGGCATTTGTGGTTCCAATATTCAATAACTCTGGAGAAAAATCTGACCCCTCCAATTATCGTCCGATCAGTCTTCTTTCTGTTATTAGCCAGGTCTTTGAGTCTTTGATCAACAAATTCCTCACATCTCATCTTGAGTCAAATTAACTGGTCTCAGACAATCAATACGGTTTTCGATCCTCTCGCTCTACGGCCGATATGCTAACTGTTGTAACTGAAAGATTTTATTGTGCATTAGATGGAGGCGGTGATGCTAGGGCTATTGCTCTTGAAATATCTAAAGCTTTCGACAAAGTTTGGCATGCTGGTTTTCTCCATAAGCTTGCTTCATATGGTGTTTCTGGAAAAGTTTTTGATATTATCAAATCATTTATTTCTAACCGGTTTATTAAAGTCATCCTTGAAGGCCAACACTCTTCTTTATTTCCAGTAACTTCTGGGTTCCCCAAGGTTCCATCCTGGGCCCTGTTTTGTTTCTTATCTACATAAACGATCTTCCTGACAACCTTTCATCTAAAGTAGCTCCTTTTGCTGATGATTCAACTTTAAACTCCTGTCTTGGTAAAAAGTCTTCTTTTTTCGATCGCCTAGAACAAGCAGCTGATCTTGAATCTGATCTCACTTCAGTAATAGATTGAGGTTCACAGTGGCTTGTGAATTTCAACTCTAAAAAAACCTAATTGCTTACTGCAAACTATTACCGTAATATGGTAAACATTCCTATATTAACGAATGGCAATCCTCTTACTGAGTCCTCCTCTTTACGTCTTCTTGGATTATCGCTTACTACTGACCTCTCATGGAAACCATATATACAATCGATTGCTAAATTAGCTTATGCTAAGGTTGCTTCTCTTTATCGTGCTCGCTATTTCCTTACTTCTGATTCCATTCTCTACCACTACAAATATCTTATTCGTCCCTGTATGGAATACTGTTGTCATATTTGGGCTGGTTCTTCTAACGATTTACTTTCTCTTCTTGACAAGGTCCAAAAACGCATTGTAAATGCTGTTGGATCTGTACTATCTGCTAGGCTTGAACCTCTTTCCCATCGTCGTAAAGTTGCATCTCTTTCTCTTTTCTACAGATACTATCATGGTCACTGCTCAAAGGAGTTATCATCTCTAATTCCATCAACTAAAATTCATTCTCGTTTTACTCGTCATTCAGCTAAGCCTCATTCGTTTACTGTATCTGTCCCTGCATCCTCTAAAAACTTTTATTTATCTAGTTTTTTTCCCCGCACTTCAATCCTTTAAAACTCTCTCCCATCTTCATGTTTTCCTGACTCATACAACCTTCAACTTTTCAAGTCTCCTGTCAACCGTTTCCTTGCTCTATAACTCTGTTCTTTTTTTTTTCCTAGTAACTCCCAACTTAATAGTGGTTGCTTGCAGCCTTGTTGGGAGTAAATGCAAATAAAAAAAAAAAAAAAAAAATTAGTGTCCCAAAAATGTACTCTGTACAAACTTTATAAAAGAACTCATAACCTTTCTGTTCTTATCAACTACAAGAATTGTTCACGTTTATACGATGCTGAAATCACAAAAAACTGTATTGCTCGAGAAAAATACATAGTAGACAACTCCAATTTAACCCAATTTTGTTTTTACGTCAATTCAAAATTTAACATTTTAAATTCTGTTCCGCCATTTGTAAGACCCGACGGTTTCCTTTGTACTGATGACTGTGAAAAATCGAGCCATCTGAACAATTTTTTTGCTTCAGTGTTTGTCTCTGACAACGGTACTAAACCTGAGCTAGACCTACCATCCCGAGATAATTTTTTGAATAATGTCCTATTTTCTTATGATTCTGTTCTATCAGCCCTTCAAAAACTTCCAGATGGGTATCCTGCCTAAGGCAGGATACCAGATGGGTATCCTGCCTAAGGCAGGATACCAGATGGGAATCCTGCCTTATTTCTGAAATTGATTGCTAATATTATTGCCACCCCGCTCTGTCTCTTTTGTGAGTTGTAAATGTTAACCGGCGTAATTCCGAATATTTGGAAAACCGCATGTGTATGTCCGATTTTCAAGACAGGTAACCCCTCCTTATCTACGAACTACAGACCTATTTCATTGACTTGTATTAGTTGCAAAGTTATGGAGTCAATTATTGATAATAGTTTAAAAAAGTACCTTCAACTTGATAACTTTATCTCTATTCACCAAATTGGGTTCTTAAAGCGTAGATCTACATATACACAGATGTTAGCATCTCTTAATGAATGGACCTCAGCTGTTAACAAGAAAAAGGTAGTTGATATTATCTA